GAAGAAGGCTCATGAGAAAGGAGTGCATGCTACCGAGGCCAATCTTTCACTTGAGTTGAAGATAGATGGGTTGATCAAGGTAATATTGAAGGATAGAAACCAAGACAAGAGTTCGACAATGGTATGTGAATGGTGCCCATGTCCCAAACCATGTTTTGGAAGAATGTCAAATAATGGAGGCGAACACTATGGAGGAGCAAGTAAACTTTATTGCTAATTCTAGGGGGAACAACAACAACAACCCATATAGCAATACCTACAATTTGGGGTGGTGCAACCATCCTAACTTTGCACGGGCATCGCTAGCTAATCCAAGACTATAGGGTTTCCAAGATCCTAACAGTGGATATCAACCATGACCCCCATTTCCTTAGAAAACGCCTCAATTTCAAGCAACACTATCAACGGCAAGGTGCTCAAGGCTTTCAACAACAACAACTACCACAACCTGACTACGTATCCAAGCTCGAAGAACTTGTTACCACCTTTGTTAGTTTGGGTCCGCAAAAGTTTGAGAAGCTAGATAATTTCATGGAAGTTTCAGCAAGCAAGTTTACCTCAATTGAGGTGGGATTAAGAAGTCAACACGCGAGTCTCCGAAACTTGGAGACCCAAATTGGAAACCTCGCCGAAATCCTCAATACCGAGAGAGCACAAGGAGCTCTACCATCCCAAACTGTGGCTAACCGCAAAGATCCAAGGGTATGATTCCATGGAATTTCACGAAGGAGTGAGAAGGTTGATCAAGATATCAAAACAAATGAAGTAACTCAAGAAGAAGAAGAAGATGAAGACCCTCTCACGATAGATGAAAAAAATCCTTTGGAGGAAAGGACGAAGAGACTGGGAACGCTCCCTCGACGTCACCTCCAGTGGCTGAGCACAAGCCTCAACTTCTTTTCCCTATAAGAGTTCACAAAGACCATTTGGAGGCAGAGTTTAGGAAGTTTATGGAGATGTTGAAGAAGCTACATGCCTCAGTTCCTTTCTTCGAGGATATGGCGCAAATGCCAAAATACCAAGTTTCCCAAGGAGCTTCTTAAAGAATAGGAAGATTAAAGACATTGTCTCAATCACCTTGATCAAGGAGTGCTAAGCCATGATCCAGAACAAGCTTCCTCAAAACAAACAAGATCCAAGGATTTTCACTAATCCCTTATGCATCCGTCCTGAGCTACGATTACCTTTGGTCATTTCTTAGTGTGTTAATATTTGCGAGTCAATATTTCTTATGACACTTTAGTTGTAGTGTTGATCACTCCCACATTTGATACATTTCCCCCTTCTATCAGTACATCTTTAGTCCTTTCTCTTGTATTTCATATCTAAATCATAAATATTTGATCAATGAGCCTTTAATGGACATAAGATGTGTTTTGTATTCTTTGATGCATTCTGGGTATGTTTTTTTATGGTTTTCAAGGTACAATAAGACCTAAGAGAATTTTGATTAAGCATTGGACAACTCTGGAAGGACCAAAGGATCCAGAAAGAGAAGTATATGGATAGTGGTAGCCTCCTTCACTTCTATGTATAGCTAGTTTCAATTGATTGTATGAGGAAGTGAACTCGTTTATATTTGTGTGTATTGATGCTATAATTTCATATGATGCTTGCGTTTATGCTTATGAATTTTGATACTTGTTATGTATGCATGGATGTTTGATTTTAATGCCTATTTGATGATCATTTTTGTTTATCTAGTATTAATGCTTTCTTATCATCGATGCTTATGATTCTATAATGTGCTACTATATCATCGTGCATAGTATCATCTAGGTTATTAAGTAATTACCCTCAAGTGATACCCCATTGATGCTACACGAGTATAGAGGGAATGATCAACCATATATACCTTAAGTAGTATAAATGCATGATTGTTAGATCATCGATGCTATAGACCACCTATTACGGCTCATAGAGGCCCACTTAATCATATACTATCATAACTTCCTTGCTCTTCTTTACTTGGGTAATGGCATGAAACAAAAGCATGCATTAGATATTTGAATTTATATCGCTTGAGGCGCATGCACTAGTAGAGAGTGGACTTATTGGAATGGGTAGAGTGATGTTATAAATGAGTCATTGATGCATGATATGATTGATCTTTTGTATGCATGATGCTACTCGAGGTTTATCTTGTTATACAATAACATATATTTACTTTTATGGCATATTCTAGGAGGACCGCCAACTCATTCATTCGTTTGGCCTAGGAAGTATGTTGAACAAGACCCCTCCTTAGATTATTGACTAGTCCCGAATATCACAATAAAAACCCCAATTAAGGCCCTAGTATAAACCTTAACCGGGTGCAATATAAGGCAAGTTGTTTTAAAACTTAAACCCGGGCCGGTCCATGTACCCCTACTTCGATTGTTTGATACATTATCTAGCAATTGGTTTGGTTAAAAGTACGATTAATGAATAAAAACATTGGAAAAGTAAATGGTTTGAACACTAATTGATATGGCTTCACCCTGTGTTGCTCCCCCTAGCTAACAATCCTGATTTGTTGGATGGAATGCAAATGTATGGTAAAGTCGGTTGTAAACCGTAGGGAAGTGCAACAAGTGAACAACCATCACAGTCTTGGTCTCAAGGCCAAGGGATATCAAATTAAGCTACCAAGGTAACTCTCTTGGCCCAATCGACAAAAGGTTGCCTACTTCACCCTCGAACTATAGTTCAGACGGCCAAATTACAACCTATCAAAGGTGGTAATACGTATGAAGAGGTTTGCCCTAATTAAACCTAGGTGACACAATTGGCCAAGGAATTTTAGCTTTTACAAGCCTCTTAAAAAGAAGGGAATTTCCCTCTACCTAGGTCAAAATGGCATAAGAATTGGAAATGCAAGAACACACACAATCTTCATGAAAATACCTCATAACTTGTATTAAAACGCACCCACACAAAAGACATTATATCCATACAAACATTAACATAATTGTAGCTAGGGTTTACAAACACCCAAGTGAAAGAAAGTTCTACTCCATGCTAAGTAGAGGGAAAACACAAGGAAGAATAGAGAAAATCATCTTGGAGATGTTTGCCTTCTTCCTTGGGGTGCGGAGATCAACCTTGGAGGAAGAACTTCCCAAAACCTAGCTCTTGGATGAAACCCTAACTTCTCTTCTCCTCTTGTTCATCACTTTCTCACTCTAGAAATTTGAATAAGAAAAATTCTCTCTCACTAGGTTCCTTTCTTTTCACTTTCAGCTCATCCCCCTTTATATAATTAGAACGACGATGTTTTAGAGTCCTAGTTCCCGACCGTGAACATCTGGCCCAGACCGTGATGTCAAGAAAAAACACGTCGTTTCATTAATAGAGTTCACGGTCTAGAGCTGGTCTTCACGGTCGAGTGACCATAAACTGGTTTATACCCGCGAGATGGGCAAACCCTTCTGGACTCCCCGCTCTTCATGGTCCATGCCTCCTCTTCACGGTCTGGATGACCGTGAACTGCTGGCCTCCACCGTGATCTGCTGCTGTTGCTCCCTTTTCATCGATTTCCACCCCTTTTCGTCCAACTTTCGTTCCATGGGTTGGTTTCACCTGCTAGGATGTGAAACATACTAAAATCAACTAGAACCTAGCGTAAAATCGAACCTCACATAGTAAAAGTACCTCAAACATCTAAGGAAAAAGCGAGCAAACATTTACAAATAGACCCGAATCACTCCCCCACACTTAGATGTTTGCTTGTCCCCAAACAAATCAATTTCAAACAAGGTAATATCTCAACCTAACAAGATAACTTGGGGACATATCAAAGGGCTCGACGCAGTTGAATCTCAATGAATATTGGGCATCAACATATGAACCATTACAAGAAATAACGACATCCACCACAAACGACATTTGAATGTATTAAGAATGTGCAAAGTAAAAGTTCACACCTTGTTCACCAATCAAATACAAGTCTCGACAATACTACTCACCAACCACAACTAACCATGCATAGTGTTCAAGTCCAAGGAAAAAACGAATGGGCGACATAGGTCCTCACTGAGATAAGATATGAACATGCAAAACATGAATGAATCACTCACTCTCTACTAGTGGGGTCAGGACCATTTGGTGCAAAAGATGTGCACAATCATCAACACTCAACCCTATCGTCTCTTCACCACGGTGGCAACCTCTAAATGAAGAGTTCACTGGATGGTTGTCGTCACTAGCTTATTTGGGAGGCACTATATAAATCTTGGATGAATTATTTTTCAGATTAAGCAACAATAATATTGAAAACTCTAAATCCAGATCTCTCAATCTCTGCCCCAATACTTCTCAATTCCCAATCCCTAAACCTAAATTATCTTCTCAATCCCTCTTAATTTTCCCCAATCTAGCGGGTTTCTTACTGTTATCTTATCCACTAACACCTGGAAATCATGAGAACTTCGTTTCCAAGTTATTAGGGGAACTCTAAGATACCTGACAGGAAGAGTGTCAAGAGGAAAACTAGTTGTACTTGAAATAAAGACCTCTTCCTCCTTTGGGATTCCAGGACAATAGAGACTACATTTAGCCATATTACATTGAATCCCAGAGACGATGTAAAACTGGTCAAGCAACCTTCTAATACCAGCTACACCCCTCATAGATCCAATGGTGAATACATGCAAATCATCTGCAAAGCACAGATGAGTAATCTCTAGTGCTTTGCATCTCGGATGATAAGGTATTTGGTTTTCCAAAAGAGCTAATTAACTACTTATTTAGATATCTATGCTTCTGAGGAGTATTAAAACCCCTGAGATTCCAACTCAAGATCTTCATTTACCTTTTCGCTTCCCCTTCCCTTTCTTTGGAGGAGACAAATGAGCAAACATAACTTGACCTTGTGCATTCAATGGCACCCTAGCAGCCATTGTCGATTGAGGAACTCGAAGACTTCCCCCAATTGAGTTTCCAGATTGACTACTGTTTCGGATCACAAGCTGAAAACCATCTTCATCCATTACTGCCTTGCCACGCTCCCCAACTGTCTAATGAGGTGGAGTCTGTGCACCAACAGGTGGAGCAGCCCCTGGACTAGAATTAGTAACAACCAGCACTTCATTAGACAAAGCCTGGACAGTCTTCGCAGGTTGAGCAACCCCTGAATTAGAAGCACTAACAATTGGTACTTCACTAGACGAAGCCTGGACAGTCTCAATATCCATAGTCCCCAAGTTTTTCGGAACCCATTCAACCTGCATAGCTTCTAAGTCAACCTGGCCAACAACAACCAAATCTCGATCCTACAAAATCTCCACAGACCGACATTTAACTCCATGCCCAATCTCATGTCCAAAGACTCCACACTGAGCACAGCAAGAAGGCACACTCTTATAGCTCTCAAGGCCTCCCCTCCCTCTGGCCGAATACAAAAATCCATTCGAAAATCAGAAGTAGCCGACATTGGGTTTTTAGCATTTTCTACCCTTCTACTATTGCAAATTAACAAACGTACCCCTCTACTATTTTTTGACACAAACATACCCTTTTAGTATTAAAACATAACGAATATACCCTTCTGTCTAATTTTCTGTTAAATGATTGTTTAATATGCTATAAATTGACCTAATTACCCCTCATTAATTTCTAATTTCAGTTATAATTATTTTATTAATTATTTCTATCCCCTAAAATTAAAATGCCCCCATCCCTTCTAACGCAACAAAACCTTTCTTCTTCCTCTCTCCACCGACTCCTATTGGGTCAGGATCACGTCAACTCGCCCATGGCCCATGCTTGTAGCCGCGGGTATGACAATGCCCTAGTTATAATAGTAAAAGAGGGTATAAATATACATGTACTGGTTTACGGCCAAACTATCTCTTGAGTAATAAGAAAACCTAAAGCTGGAGAGGCATCTGACACGCTAAAACACAACACCAAACTGCGACCAAGTGTAATCGCAGTCCGGGAATGCAGTAAAGTGGCAAGTTCTATTATCAACCCGAGGTCTAGATCTACTGCCTACTCCGTGATTATCTATTATCTAGCCAACTAAGTCAAGTGATTGTTGTTTTAACTAAAAGCATAAAGAAAGCAGGAATTGGTTCGGTTTTCTCAAGCAAAGGAAGAGTCACTCGGGAATGAGTCCCCCTAGCTCCTTAGTTAGGTCTCAATTGTAATTAACCTGGGTTGATTTACTGTTGATTAGACTGCGGAAGATCCGACACTAGCTTGGAATCTCTTAAGCTGACCAAGCCCTCTCAGTCTAACTACCAGGCAGACGACTAGTCTTCACCGGGATAGAAAGCTGAAGCAATAAGCACAGAACTCCACTACTGGAAATGGATTCCAGTACAAAGCAGTAGAATGGCTAACTCTCGTATAACCAATCTACTACTACCGCATGAAGAGGCTCTAACAACCTAATCAGATTCTATCTATCTCAGGTTGCAGCAGAAATCAAGAAAAGCTGATCAGACTTCAATCAATTCAATGAAACATGCATCATTCAATTAAAACCAAACAGTATAATCATCCCAAGTCATTACAATCAAATCCCTAACACATGGAACTAGGGTTCTTCATACCCAAGTGAGAGAAGGGTTCTACTCCATAGAGAGAGGAAAACAGAAATCAGAGTAGTCATACTCATAAAGATGAGGAAAATCTGCTCTGGGATGTCAAGCTTCACTCCTGGGGACGCAATCAGGGCTTCAATGGTGAGAAATCCACTCCAAATAGCTCCTAGGTTTTGTTCTTCGTCCTTTCTCTCTCTAAAACTCTGTTTTTGCTCTGAAAAGTCGAGTCCCTCACTTGTGGCTCGAAATTGGGTAAAAACCAGGATTCCCGACTCACACAGGCAGGCCACACGGCCGTGTGGCTTACCCAGATGCCCGTGTGAGGTCCAAAACGCCGCGTTCTGATTAAGTGGATTTCAGGCTTCCTACACGGCCAGAGACACACGGCCGTGTGGAGCCTCCAGTCTGCCCGTGTGAAGGCTCGCATAATCCCACATGGCCACTTTGGTTCATGACACGGCCGTGTGGGATGCCCAGTTTGCCCGTGTGAAGGCTCGCACAATCCCACACGGCCACATTGGTTACTTGCACGGCCGTGTGGGTTTTGTGTGTGCCCGTGTGGCTTCCACAACGACTCGCCTCATGCCCGATCTTCGTCCAATCGACCCCGAACTCGCTCCCAAACCTTCATTCACGTACTAGGACCTGAAATATCACAAACAAGCACAACCTAGCATGAAATCGGCCTAAAACACGAGAATCAACATCTCAAACGACTCAAGAATAAGGGTGAAAACATGTGCAATTAACGGTTTATCAGCATCCCTCTCACATAGACTAGTCTTGATCAACCGGGGATACCACGTAAACATCATCTCGTTCGCTTTATTTGTTTGCTTAGATCACCCTATTTGACAAGGTATCAGAGCAATAAGCTCATGTGCCTGTTCTCTATTCTCGTTCCGTTAGTGCTCCTTATTGTCCCTCGGCATGAGTGTTGGCACCGGTGAGGCGAAGAATCTCGGCGATGTCCTCCTGCCGGAGTACAATCTTCATCAGTCTGATGGCCATGGTCAACTCCTCATCGGCAACGTCCTTACCACCAGCAATTACGGGGAGTGGGTCCTCGACATGAAGGATTCATTGGTTGCAAAGAACACATACGGCTTTGTTGATGGTTCAGTTCCTCGACCCACTGATGCCGCTGCTCGCGCTGTTTGGGATTGATGTGATGTCATGGTTAAAGGTTGGCTCAAGACCACCATGGACAAGGAAACTCGTAGTAGTGTCCGTTTTGTTGAAACGTCTCGCGTAGTATGGATTGACCTACGTGCCTATGAGTTGCGACGTCAGGTTGTCCGCGGGAGTTCTTCTCGTGCCTATGAGTTGCGACGTTAGGTTGTCCAACTTCAACAAGAGAAGCTCTCTGTTGCCTCCTTCTACACTTGTTTGCGGTCCTTCAGGGAAGAAGCCTCTGCTATTTATCCTCCACCCCATTGAACATGTGGTTTCTGCACATGTGATGTCTCCTGCAGAGTCCGAGAACAACAGGATAATTCCATGTTATTTGATTTCTTAATGGGCCTTGATGATGTCTTTTCTGCCGTCCTTACTCAGCTGCTAGTCATGAAACCAGCGCCTAGCATTGGAGAGGCTTTCGATATTGTCCCAAACGAGGAGAAGCAGTGCAATCTCCCACAATCGTCGATCCACCGTAGCTCCTGAAGCTGCTGCGTTTGCCACCCGTGGCGGCAGGGCGCGGCAACCAAGAACGCCCTTGTTGCTCCCACTGTTAACGCATTGGTCACACCCGTGAACAGTGCTATCAACTGATTGGCTACCCTCCGCGCGATGGCAATGGCGATCCTCCTCAACGTCGTATGGTCGACCGCCTGCTGAAGAAAATATCACTCGTGAACTAAAAGCATCCCAGGTGGACCAACTCAAGCGTTTTTTCAATGCTTCTTCTCCTGCCCACACATCGCATGATCCTGCGTCTCACATGACAGGTATGTTGTCCTTTGACTCTAAATGGTTACTCGACTCTGGTTGTAACGAGCACATTACGATGGATGGCTCACTTTTATCTGACAAAGCAGCTAGCTTAGATGGTCAACCTGTCTGCATCCCTAATGGTGCGAGTATTCCAGTGAAACATATTGGTTCTCTATAGCTGCAGCCCGGTTTAACTCTCAACCGCGTCCTCCATGTCCTGGAGTTTAAGTGCAACTTGGTGTCGGTAAGCCGTTTGACCCGAGATAACAATGTGGCATTAATTTTTGTTGGTAACTTTTGCGTCATCCAGGACTTACTCTCCAAGAAATTGATTGGAAGGGTGAACTTTGTGACGGTCTTTACTACCTGCGGTTGTTTGGTACGGATCGTACTCATGCTTTCGTAGCGACAAGGAAGGTCTCCGAGCATGTATGGCATGCGCGTTTGGGCCACCCCTCCACCGCTCTCATGGGTTCACTTAGTCGGCTGTTGTCCTTTTATGTTTCCTCCAGCAAAGACCTTTGTCATTCATGTTGTCGTGCTAAACTCAGTCAAACACCTTTTCAGTCTAGCATGATTAAGACAACGTCATGTTTTGAGTTGATCCGAGATAACAATGTGACATTAATTTTTGTTGGTAATTTTTGCGTCATCCAGGACTTACTCTCCAAGAAATTGATTAGAAGGGTGAACTTCGTGGCGGTCTTTACTACCTACGGTTTTTTGGAATGGGTCGTACTCAGGCTTTCATAGCGACAAGGAAGGTCTCCGAGCATGTATGGCATGCGTGTTTGGGCCATTCCTCCACCGCTCTCATGGGTTCACTTAGTCAGCTGCTGTCCTTTTATGTTTCCTCCAGCAAAGACCTTTGTCATTCATGTTGTCGTACTAAACTCAGTCAAACACCTTTTCAGTCTAGCATGATTAAGACAACGTCATGTTTTGAGTTGATTCATATAGATATTTGGGAAGGATAACAGGTGGCTTCCTCTAGTGGTGCTCATTATTTTCTCACAATTGTGGATGATTTCAGTTGTGGTGTTTGGGTCTATCTTTTGCATTACAAGTCCGACGTGAGTCGTCATTTGATTTTTTTGGTAATATGGGCAAAACAAAGTTTGGTTTGCAGATTAAACGAATTCAGACTGACAGTGGTGCTGAGTTTCGCACCGACGTCTTTTCCTCGTACTATGCCTAGGAAGGTATCCTACTCCAAACCTCCTGCACCGACACGCCTCAACAGAATGGTGTGGTTGAGAGTAAACACCGTCACATCTTGGACACTGCCCGTGCTTTGCGTTTCGAGGCCAATCTTCCCACCCGTTTTTGGGGAAAGTGTATATTGACTGATACATATCTCATAAACCGCCTCCCAACCTTGGCCAAGGGCCAGACCCCTTTTGAGCTTCTCTTTGCAAACCAGCTCAGCATGATCATTTACGTATTTTTGGCTGTTTGGTATTCTACAAGGATACTCATGTAGGATTGGGCAAGTTGGACGAGTGGGGTCACGCTGGTGTTTTTGTCGGTTATGACGTGTCGCAGAAAGGCTATCGCATATATGATCTAACTACTCACAAGATCATAAACTCTCGGGACGTGACTTTCTCTGAAGACAACTTTCCTTTTCGGCCCAATTAGAGTCACCATCTTCACTGGTTTCCTCACCTCGTCTTCACTCCTCCTACCATTGATGATGATGAACTACCTGACTTTGGTTCCCCACCTGTCCAAGGCCCTAATGC